TGAGTCCACGACCCTGACTACCCCAACTTGTGGCGTATCCCGTCCCTGTGGCTTCCTGACTCGATACTGCAGGAGCCTCTGCTTCGTCCTGCATGCCTCACAGTAACACCTGTAGTCGCACGGTACTTTTGTTGCAAGGTTTGTAACCAATTGTTTTGCTCCCTGTGTTATTCTTTGCACCTCTTCAGCCCAACAGGCCTACGTATGCTTGGCTACTCTCGCAGTACTGATGTCGCAGCCGGCAACCATTCTGACTCGGCTCTTAACTGCTTCTTTCGTTTTGCACTCCCGGTGCGCAGGGATATTGACGGCTTCATTATGTCCGGCACATATTTTACTATGTTATTGTGCTTTACACCGTCCAGGGGTTGTTTCCCGGCATTCTTCTATGGCGCCTTACTGGCACCGTGCTTGTTTTGCCCGCCAACGCCCGTCCTGATTCCTGAACCGTCTGCGCCTAAAAAGAACGAAGTCATATGCCGAAGAAGAAGAAGAGGAAAAGGGGAAAGGAAAAAGGGAAGGAAGCTAAGGAAGCTAGGGAGGAAGCGCAAGTGACAAGTCTCTTTAAAAAAAAAATAAAAAAAAATATAAAAAAAAAAAGAGAGAGAGAGAGAGAGTGAGAAAAAAAAAAACCTTTCCCCTCTTCGTCCTGGTGTTTTGATCTTATCGGATTAGGAGCGCATTCGCTCACCAACTGAATTTGACCGACTCCGTTGGCAACCTCAGATCACCAATTAACAACCCAGGTTGATCACGCCCCTTTTCTTTTTTTTTCCTTTTTTTTCTTTTTTTTTTTTTGGCGTGGTTCGAAGAATTGGAGGCGGACACAACTCGCTCGGACTGCGGGTGTCACCCTTAATCAACCCCGTTCAGTCCAATTCTTCAACTTGATTCCGGAATCAGGACACCTACCCTTGCATTCCCTTGATCCAAACGTTGCCGTTCTTTGCCTTGATTCGAATTTCGCTGTACTTCTCGCATATTTTTGTGGGGAAATGCTTGCCAAGCACATGTCCAAAGATTCGCCTGATTCATGCCATGAGGCTGTCTGGTGGCACAAGGGTCCTATAATCGAACCAGTTGACCTCGCACAATTTCCAACACCTGCCCTAGAATTTCGCCAAGCCATTAATGCTTCCACTGGTGTCCCGCGCCACTACAACGTAATTGTATTAGTAGCTACAGGCTTCCAACTACCGGCCGGAAATCACAATTCAGCTCGAGCCATATGCTTGAGCCTCTGGTATTCCGTTGATGGTTCGCACTGGTGTATTCGGGATGACGCTCGAGGTTGAGTCGGACTGCTTGCGGGGTATTTATTCCGTCTGATAATAGTCAAGGGATGCTGGTCTGATAGGTAGGCCTAGGATCAAAGTCAATTCCAGCTCCTGGCCACCTCCACTCGGCAATATTGGGGTCTGATTCAGCGACTGATTCAGCTGGTGGTCAAATATGACGCTCGAGTCTTCAAAGTGCTGATAATTTCAGCACAAGCCCCGCGCTTCTCTGCTCTTTTGTTGATAACAAAAGCCCCCGTCAGTGACAAAGAAACAATTTGAGTATGCTTCCTCTGTCAAAAAGGTCCTCCTTGAGGTCCATATCGGTTCGTTGGATCGTTGTAGGGACTCATAGAAAACTGGTAGTTCATCGTTAAGCGATTATCGATAGGCATTGGCTGACCTCTGACCAAGTCGTGTCGCGAGTCGTTCACCATCTGCCCAGATGCACTTTGGAACTGATCTGATTGCGTTATAGCTGGCTGTGCCGAAAAAGCTGATGGAGAATAATGAGGATGGTCTGTCGGTGAAACACCAGCAAGCTGTTGCGGGTGATGGTTGTAAGACACGCTCGGCTGTGATGGCTCCCAAACAGAAGAATTTGTCGTAGAGGCGCTTGCTATCGAGTCCTCTCTACTAGATTGGCTCGGTATAGCAAACTGCTGAGTCTGTTCCAGATGCGCCGCTCTTCGAGGCAGCATTGCTTGGCTTAAGGATTGCATGGCAACTCCTGCCTCCTCCCTGAGGCGGATTGGTTGTGCCCGACCAGACTCACAACTATTTTCTGTGGATGCTTGCAAGTAATGAGTAATGTACTCATTCGTAACCCCGTATCTGTTTAGGAGTTCCCTTAGTTGTGTATTTTCATCTGCGACTCTTCTGGCAGCCATTTGAACTTCGGCAGAGGCTTCGATGCCTTGGAGTTCGCAGACTCGCAGTCGCTGCTCGAGTTCCTGCAAGTACTCTCTCCTCCGCGCGCGAGATCTCCGTTGATTATCACGAATTCGAGCCAGGTTGGCCTTGTGCTGTTGAGGACCGGAAAGAAAGGGTGTTAGACATGATACAAGAAGAAAGGCAAGGTATTCTCCTAATCATTTCGACGTGGCACTGTAGACTTGGAACTCACCGCTGGAGTAGTCATTTAGTCGACAACAGACGGCGTCTTCGTAGGCAAGGAGGCACACGATGGTGTCGCACGAAGTTGGGAATGAGTGGAATGAGATGGAGAGGAGAGGGCGAGTTTAGTTGGGCAGCTGTGAAAGCAATAGATAGGCTTCTTTGTATGGAATATTTGTTAGGCTGATAAGAGACGGAGGAATAAAAGGTTGCAGCAGCTAAGTCGAGGTATAGAACCGTGGTGAGGTATATATGACACTAATGGAAATGAGAAGCTGAAAAAAGGGCTATATCATGTCAACATCAAAGGTCCCAAAGACACACATGTGTAGGGAGAGAGATGGTCCAGAGGACCCGGCATAGACGGATACGACGGGCGTAATTGTATCAAAATTGGCAGCCCACACTAGATATCGGTCCAGATCCGCGGATCTCCAACAAGATTTAAAAGAGGAAATTACTTGATTCAAGGCACCGAGAGACCACCGACCCTCGGCAGGAGACTACAGCGAAGTGAGCCTGGCTGGCGGTCGAGAATGGCCATGGGTACCCAATGTTGTCGTCTGGTGGCTAACAGGCGGGGATATTCAAAACTGAAGACGCTAGTAACAGGGGGAGTATAAACAGACATCGGCCCCGGTTTCTGGATTCGAAGCTGGCAGAAGGATGACCTGCCTGTGTTGTGACTTTGTGCCTGGGGGGGTGTGAATATGTGAAAACGCCACAGGTGGGTAGCTGTGTGTAGGCGTGTTGGACGTAGAAATTCAGAAATATGGCTCAACTATGTGGCGGGATATTAAAAAAAATGACGGCAAATGATGAATTCGTTGGCACTGCCTTGGCTTTGACAAAAATAGACTCCGTACGCTGATGGACCAAAGGAAAAATATGCACTTTTGGTCTTGGCCACGAGTAATGAATGTCCATACAAGAATTAGAGCTGCTGCAAGGGCAATATAACGACTCATGCCATATGATGCATATTCTAGGAGTCGCCCAAACAAGGCATCATCAACCTTGATCGGCTTTCTTGATCTTGGCTTGCTGTCGCCATGGTGAGCCTGTAGTCGTCTGTGTGTTGGCAGTCGGTCACGATGTTCTTTGTTCATGGTTTTGGCACATGAACCCTTGGGCTGGCTGCTGGCTAGCCAAGGGGCATATCCACACCGTTTTCAATCCACCAAGAGCAAGTTGCACAACCTGCAGTTTCCTGCATGTGAAGTGCATTGGTGTGCGGACGGGAGGGTGTGAGAACATCAGCTTTTGGACACCAGACGGCCTTTCACCCTGTGGCTCGGGAGGCGACGTCAAAATGCGCGTGATCCAACACAAACAATCTTTGGCCCTTTCCAACGTCTCGGGCTCGCTACCGTTGCTCCTCTAGGCGGCCCAACTTTGGCCCAGCGCGACGGGCCACATCGGAATTTTTTTGCCTTTCTTCAATGGTGCCACTGTGGCATGCCCTCGACTGTCGCAAAGAGCTGAAGTGTGTACTTGATACTACACGGCACTCGAGTCCAATCGAACCGGCACCAGCCACACGGTGCTGTTGACCGGGTGCTTTCCGATGTGGGCAAGGAATTGTCCAGACCCAAGTGCGTCAATTGTTTCAACCCCCATCTCCCGCGGCTAAACACTTGCCTAGCCCTGCCATTAGACTTGAGCTATGTCATATTTTTGGAAGAAGTGTTTGGGGAATAGACTACTGGCTAGCTTGATGCTTTCCACGCCAGAGCAGTTAGCCCAACTACTAGTTGTCAAATTGGGGCTGTTGTATTGACTATGTGCCCCATGATGGCCTCGATGACATACTACGTCCCATCCCACAAACCAGGGGCATAGGCATAACGTGCCTACCTTAGTGGTCGTCCCCGACAATTCTTGGCGGCCACATCCGCTTCTAGTGCAGAGCTTGAGCTGTCGCTGCTTTGACCTGAGTAGCCTCTTGTCGAGAGATTGTACGTAATCCGCAATAAAGTACTTGTATACCACGGCCTCCTCTAGGTAGCTAGACATTGTAGTCGGCGTACGGGGCAGGAACCTTCTCAACGGGTCCGCCCGCCAGAGCCGCAATACTTCACGACGATCTGACTTGGTAGCTTACAGATGGATGGGGGTTATCATTGTAGCCTTGAAATCTGAATCACTCAAGAATGGCGTTACGACTCACCTCGGCAGCTATCCGACTGGCAATAGCGGCTAGAAAGCACCCATGATGTCAGCATCTCACTTCCTGGGCTTCAATCAGTCTGGCCATCGACGCAGTAATGATGCTTCTCCCGCAGACCAGTTCGGGGACAATTCTTTGGTGTCGGGGCACTTGCATACCGGGTAAACCACGAGACCATCGGTATCTTGGCCCGTATATGCGTTCTACGCGTCTGCTTCTAGGGGATGAGGATGAGATTACATAACCAATGCATATTGCATCTGCAAGAAGGAACACTTCCGGGATGTCAATACATATGATGGCATCAGTCTTGGACTGAAATAGAGATGTACTTCAAGGTGTGCTTACGGCAGATAGCTGGGTCGTCGAGGGTTCGCTCTTCCCACTGATCGCTGTGAGTCGCTGCGAAAGATGTCGGTTTCCCAAGTTAGTTTCCCTTAAATTAGAAGATCGATAGTGATATGCTTGCTTGAATTGCTCATTGATTCGCGAGCTAGACTGTGTAGTCGTATATGTTCGGTGATCTTCTGAGCTGTGAATCTAAGTCCTGCCACGGCGTTGGCGATGATTAGGTCGACCTTGCAGGTATAAGTCTGGGTGAAAATATCATAGCAGCTTCGGAGCCCAAACTTCTGCCACAAAAGTTCGTTTAATTGGTTATACTTTAAAGTATCGTACTCGAAGATGGAGACGAAGCTGGCTGAATCCTTCGTCCCTTGAGGACAGAGGAACTCAATTCCTTGGCGGACCTGCTCGATGGCATGGGGGTCTAGCATGAGAACTAAAACCCATTGCGCCGCTCGTTTTCCAACTGTAATAAGCTGGGCGGGTTGCAAGTGATGTCAGCTGGTCGCACCCAGATGGAGAATAACCGCGGTAGGAGAGGCAACGGCTCCAAAGGCGTGGACATGCTACCATGGCGTTCAGCATTCGCCAGTGTATTGGTCGTGAGAAGAGACGGTTTCCACGCCATGATATCTAGTAGTTGTTTGATAAGCAAACATCTCTGGCTCGATAAAAGGGATGAAGAGGTAAGATCGCGGTTCATATCTTACATGTCAACGACTCTTCTCCTCAATACGGGCAACCTGAAAGTCCTCATCGGTGATCGTAAGGTGAAATCTGCTTCAAAGTTTCGTCACTTATAGGTATCAATCCCAAAGTCTTTCTCACTTTCAGTGAGAATAGGCCATAGTTTACGCCAAGTTGAGTGACGAGATCGCTGGCTGAAGAGATAGGACATGCCGGGGCTGAAGTAGCGAGTGGTAAGAGACGTCTGGTAAGAGTCGAACGGCCAAGTATCGGTTGATGCAAAAGTTTCGTTTGCCATCCCGAAAAGTGATATTCGGCCGATTGTGGCTGATTGCAGGTCAGATCCGGTCTGGTCAGTTTCGAGATGACGGGTTGGCAGTTCTCAGCAACTCCGCGACCAGCAAAGCTCTGAATTTATTCCTCCCCTCACCAGATTTGGATAGTGTATTTCAGAGAAAGGCAGATTAGAGCAAGAGCAAGAGTGGCGCTGCGAATTTACCGAGCCAGGTCGCGCATCGCCCGAGTTTCGTGGCTGACTACCTAGGTACTAGGTAGTTTATAAGATCAAGTACAAATTCAACCAATCATTTGAAAAGTAAACCAAAGACCACGAAGTAACTTCTTTGCTGGAACGAAATGGACCCGCAATGTAAAGAAACCTGAATAAGCTGTCATCGCAGTAGTAGAGCATCCTGGACTTCGCAGCTCCCAGAAGTTCCGTTCTCTGCTTCGTTGGTTTATACCGATTGCGGCGTATCCGCAAATAGACCGTCTGGCCTTCAGGTTCATGTTGGTGTGGTGCGCCTGCTTTGCCACAGAACTTCCAACATGGGAACTGAATTGAGGCGACCGTTTCTCAGCAATTAAATAGGGTGTGATATGCTCGCCACCGTATTGCAGTGACGTGAGATTTAGTATGATATGCTTGCAGAAGTTTCAATGCAGAATCGAATATGTAGTCGGCATATACACTTCTCTTCATCGGCTTAATCCCCAAGAGGATGCGGTCTGCACTTAAACCCAGTTGTTTTTTTGTGATGTCGACTGCTTTCAGTAGCTTATTACGCTCCGTATACATCGATTTCCTACATATATTTAAGGGTCAGTAAAGAGACAAAGGTTTGGGGGCAACATATGATACGCTTAGCTAGAATCGTAAATAGATTTCTTTCTAAACATCCTTGCGGCACTTGCCTCAAATGAGGCCAGATATACTCCGTAGTGGAACAGACGAAACCTACGTTATCGTTGACCCTCTTCGTAACTTGATCGTGTCTGTTTGTTGTATTATTGATAACCACATCCAGGGTTCCTTGAGCCACGCGAGCCAGCGTAACAAGCGTTTAAGTCGTAAACTCAGGATGCCACACAATTTACCAAGCGACAGATGTCGGTACTGACAGAAAGGTGTTTTTGGTCACTTTTTAGATACCCCTACTGAAATTGAGTCCGAGATGGTAACGCCGCAAGGAAAATCCAAAAGATCGATCATTCTGCCGATCCTCAAGACAAATGGATCTGGTCGTACAAATTATCCGAGTTGCGTATGCCTGCGGCGAATAATTAGCACCGCGAAATCCGACTTAGCATCGAAATTATTTTCATGTAGCTGTGCATCTAGCACTTTTTTCTTAATACCAGAGCTGTATCTAGCTGATGCCGCTCTGGTATGCCGCTCTGGTAGGCTTGAGTAATTTAATCCTAGATGAATAGTTCAAGCTTGGATCCTTGATTTAGTGAGATGAAATGGCTCAGAGGAGGAGAACCCGTCCTCTCTATGCCAGCTATAACTTTTCGATGTCGCAGGGAGTGCAGAGTGAGAAGACGCGATTGCGCCCATCAAGAACCTTGGGGGCCGCATGATGTCAATTGTGCGTTGAAAATGGGGTGCATAAATGACAGTGGTATTAATTTCGAACTCAAATTGGTTTGCCTCTTGCGATTCATTCAGTCTGCCTTCGGCAAATTCCGACCCCAAAAGACCTATCTGGCAAGTTAGACTATTTCCGTTTACTATTGACTATCCAGTCTGGTGATCCATTCATGCTGTCTGGATGTTCGCCACATTTAGTGTTGTATGTACTTCGTATTGGGGCCAGGGCTCTTCATTCCGGCAGTGACGGGACAGTTTTTATGGAAGTTGGCAAGACTCTGTAATTACAAGATTGTTACACAGTCAGCCCCTGCTTTAAAACGTGTTTGATCCGTTCTCTCGCAACAAAGGTTCACATCGTATATAACGCGATGGTGCCAAATTTCGAAGTGAACAAAGGATGACGAAACGAAACCGCGACTCACCTTGCAACCTAATATGGTTGTATTCACGATGATCACGCACAAAAACCGTGCTCAACCACGTAATAAGACGCTGGGTCGTATGCTGGTGCCTTAACTACTACCATGACTGAAAAGGAAGACAGGCGTCACTTAACGCCTCCGGCCCGGTAACCTAATGATTAATCCATCAAATAGACCGGTCGGCGCAGGGAAGCATTGTGCCTCGCAAGGGCCTTGTGTTCGTGCGTCCCCGGTCGGCTGGGGACACTCGCCCTAGGGCAATGCCTCGTTAAACATTGATCAGTTCTGGTCTTGTGACGCAAGCTTTATTCCCTGGCACAAGGAAACGCGGACCATTCTCTTGGATTGAGACCTCTAGTTGCCTGGTACGGTTCCAGATTTCTCGTGGGGCACCGGGGTTGTGCATCAAAAGCAAGGGTGTCAGTACTCTAAAGATGGAAGATAAAAATCGGTCAGACTTCTCGGTAGAAACGATATTGTTCCCAATTTTGTGAGTGGGTTCAGAACAGCACAAAGTAGCCAGTCAAACGATGATAAGTTGGGGGTCAGAGAAGAAAATCACAAGAGTCAGATGCCATTTGTTGACATTGATCATTCAATGTTTGTACACACAAAACGAATCAGGGGTGAAAGGGCTTGGCAGAGCGCGCACCACGCTGTGTCACAGTGTGTGTGCAGCTGGCACCGGGGTAGCTCCTTCCGTCTGGCTCGTGTCGCTCATAGAGCGTCACCGACTGCTGTACCGGCTTTGTTCAGCTACTCCGTCTCAGCATCCTGATGGAATCCAGACGCTACCTAATGACGCATTTGAGCCCAACTTTCTAACTTTAGAAAACCGAGCACGTCCTGGGCCACAGCCCAATGACACTTGGCTGCTTTTAAACAGTTTGTTCGTGGCAGCATCTTGGTGGTCACGTTCTGCCTGGTCTACCCCGTATTACGTGGTGCCCTGTCATATCCTTGGCCATGTTTTGTTTTTCTGTTTCCAGGGTACCGAGCTACTCCTTATTTACGCACTTGGCACTTGGGTAGGTATCGAGGCCAAAAATACGATGCCCTAGAAACAGCTTTTCTCCTCGTCATATAATTCCCGAGTATATTCCGTGCAGTGACACAAGCAGCGGTATAAAGGCCAGAGTCGGTGCCATCCCGTCTCACACTTATCACTCCCTCTTCTTGCCAACGACGAACACCACACAGCTTACGACATACATTTCAATCATCATTCGAGAACTAGCAGCGATGTTTGCCCTTTTCAAGTCGTTCGTGGTCTGCGCATTGGTGGCTGTGGCCCAGGCGGACACTATCAAAATCACGGCGCAGAACGACAACACATTCAACCCAAACTCAGTCACAGCAAAGAAGGGCGATATTCTTGAATTTCACTTCCAACCTAAGAACCATAGTGTTGTAGCAGGCGACTACAAATACCCTTGTTCTCCTCTCCCAATAGGCAGCGGGTTCTTTTCTGGGTATATGGATGTAGAAAGCGGCGAAGGAGTAGGTCTTTGCGTATTGTTGTCGCGAATGCACGCTGAGTGAAAAGCTAACATAGTTTCAGGATAAAGTTTTCCGTGTGACAGTGAATAACACAAATCCCATGGCGTTTTATTCCTCACAAGGTGATGAGTGTCCGAAAGGCATGGTCGGCATGGTCAATCCGAACGGCACAGAAACCCTAGATGACTACAAGAAAAGGGCCGGCGGCTTGGCTAGAGGTGTCACTCCTGGCAATTCTCCTTATGGCGGAGATGTGACTGGAAACACGTCTCCGAGCCCGAGTGGCAGCAAGAACGGTGACAAGGACAAGGGTGGTGAGAGCGGTGCTGGTGCTCTGCGTGCTTCTCTTTTAGCACTGGCTACTGCCTGGGGAGCTATCATTCTGAGTGCGTGAAATAAGTTCGGACATCATGTATGATAGAGTGGCAATGGATGCGGTTCTTCCTATTCGGGGGGTACTGGAATGCCTGTTAAGATTTGAGCGATTGTTGCTCTGTCTCGGTGCTTGAGCGTGGCGTCTGGATCAAGTGCTTGGGTAATTGAGTCATTAATAAGATGCTACGAATTCCGCAAGTGGTCCCAGGAACGAGCAGACTGAAAATAATCCATCGTTGAACAGAAAGGCCAACAAAGGAGGGATAGTGAAGAGAATGAAGCAATCGATTAGGAACCTGATGACAAGTTAATCTTGGTTGCTTGTACTAGCAGTCAGAACTTTAGGGTAAATCGACGGCTTCGCTGGCCTAACCCGTGGAGATGTCATCACGGCCCTTGTTTTGGCTCCGAGGGTTCCAATTGCCCCTGTGGCGCGGCGACTCCAACGGTCAACGGTTGGCCCACTCGTGCCGTCGATTTAGTCAGATAATCAGATTCCACAACTCACATGCAGGACTTGTCAGCTCCATTTCTTTCCGCCTCGGAACCACCACCAACTGGCCGACAATGGATAACATATCGTCAAATCACTGAGTCGCCGCTGCACCACAACATCTTCGATTCAGACCGGTCGCTAGCCTCATGGCACACTCCTGACACTCGTGCTGCCCTGCAACTCTGCAACCTCGATTGATCTGCATTCCGTAGAGTCATCCATGATGCGAGGCGGCGTTGCGTCGTCAAAAGGTGCGGCACGCCAGCTCCGAG